TAACTATTCCGGGCCCCAGGGATGTAAAATTGGCCGCCACAAGGGCTAGGGCTTTTTCGGTAGCGGCCCCTACCTGGTGGAATGAGCTCCCGGGGGAGATCCGGGCCCTGTGGGATCTGATGCAGTTCCGCAGGGCCTGTAAGACGGAGCTCTTCCACCAGGCTTTCGAGTAGGAGCCGCTGCCCGCCCTATTGTGTTACCATCTTGGGGGGGATTGGAAGAAGCCCAGAGAAAGGCCCTGAGAAGATCTTTGGAACATCAGGACGCTATAGACTGTCTCCCAAGAATTGTTTGGAACTGTCCAGCCATCTTGGGTTTTGAAGTTAGTTATCACCGAGCACTTTATGTGATATAGGATGGGTTTTAAACTGTATATAATGTTTTTATAATGCAGATATATTGTTATTTTTGTATTGTTGTCTATATCTTGCCCTGTAAGCCGCCCTGAGCCCTACGGGGGAGGGTGGGGTACAAATCTGAATAATAAATAAATAAATAAATACCTCACCCTTCACTACCCAAAGGTGTCTCAGAGTGGCTTACAAACTCCTTTCCCTTTCCCTCCCCACAACAGACACCCTGTGAGGTAGGTGGGGCTAAGAGAGCTCTGACAGAAACTGCTATTTTCAAGAACAGCTCTTATCAGAGCTACGGCTTGCCCAAGGCCATCCAGCCAGGTGCAAGTGGAGGAGTGGGGAATCAAACCCGGTTCTCCCAGATTAGAGTCCGCGCACTTAACCACTACACTAAACTGGCTCTAAGATCTGACAAGATCAGGCTAGCCTGGGTTATCCAGGTTGGGGCATAATAATCACCATAAGTTATACTAAATGCAAGTTAAGATACACTTAAGATCTGTGGGGTTTTCCCCCTGTAGTTCAGAAATAAATATTACATGTCTCGTGTTTTTGATGTGCAGTTGATCGATGGACACGACAGCAAGAAAGTCAGCGTCCCGTTTCTCCGTTCTAAAATCGGAATCGTATCTCAGGAACCGGTACTGTTCGACTGCAGTATTGCTGACAATATCAGATATGGTGATAACACTAGAGAGATTTCTATGGATAAAGTGATTGCAGCGGCCGAAAAGGCCCAGCTTCATGACTTTGTCATGTCGCTTCCTGATGTAAGCATTTTTTCCCTTAACCCTGGTAGCATTCAGTGTTGTTAAAAAGGGATGTTAAGGCTAGGAAAGCGTTCCACTCGATCTGAACCAGGTTCCTAGATCTACTGTGTGTGGTAATGTGTGTATTAGCAACATATTATCAGTTGAGACTGTTTGGAAAAGCAACTGCAAGGTGGAGACCCAGAGACCCAAATCCTACCTTCCAGAGTGCTGACATGTCTCATTTTCATAGCTACCAGTCCCTCCATTCCTGTCTTTTATTTCTGAGATGGCAACTAGAGGACAAGGAAGAACTCTTTCAGATTTGACCCATGCTAGCAATTTTAGATCTTGCTGTATGGCTTGGCACATGGAGCTATTTACTCTGCAAACAGAGTCATCGTGCAAGTCCACGTTGGCTGTGGTCAGTATTGTGCAGACTGTATTGGGAGGGGCATGGTGGACAAATGGTTCTTATCTTTTGCTAGGTTGGGCTGGACAGCCAGCTGTCTATGTAGCCCCGGTCACTGCCTATGACCTGGGTCAGAATGGGCAAAGTTAAGGTAATTAGCATAGTCACGTGCAAAAAAAGCATACAACAAAACAAAGATCCACTTCTAAGCACAGAAATGTACATATGCAGAATTTATGGTTAGAGACTAATTTGTGTTTTCCACACTAATAAGTCTGGATATCTCCCTTGTTAAATGAGCCGTTGAATTATACCCACAAGAATATTGCTCCAATGACAGTTTTCCTAATCCTGAGTCGTTTGCATCACCAATAAAGTAGGAATAAGAGCTCTAAGGACTCACGTTCTGTTTTCTCTACACGTGATTGTTTTCCAGTTCTATGCATTATTTTTTCAGTAATTAATGTAGTCACTTAAAATTCAGACAGTGTTTGCCTTCCAGAAATATGAAACTAATGTTGGCGCTCAGGGATCCCTTCTCTCTCGGGGGCAAAAACAGCGCATTGCTATCGCACGAGCCATCATCCGAAATCCTAGGATCTTATTGCTGGATGAAGCCACATCTGCACTGGACACTGAAAGTGAACAGGTATGAAGTTAGTTACGTTGACTGAAAATCTGAGTACAAGTTGGGCCATACTTTTTATTGAGGCCATCTTAGGGTGGTTCACACATACGTGTTCATTTGATGACAGCAAGTATCAAGTGGTGATATGCGTCCGTTGACCAGCTATCACAAATGGCACACTGCAAGTAGAGCTTCTGTGACAACTCACATTCCCTAGTAAAAAAGAGTCTGGCAGTATCTTCAAAGACCAGCAACATTTATTTAGTGAGTCAGAACTCACAAAATGGTCATGCAGAACATTAAGCAGACTCATCTGCCTGATGGATGGTTGCGTCGTGCATCTACTGAAGTGAGCTTCAGCTCACAGAAGATTGTGCTGAAATCTGTGTAGTCCCATGCAGAGTGATTCCAGGCTAAGCCCACTGATTTAATAAAGCTTAGGATGGAGTAACTCTTGAGTAAGACTGCATTGTAAAACATTGCTCACCTTTAAATGTGCAACTGTTTCATTTTGCTACAGACTAATGCGGCTACCCATTTGGAGTTACCACATCCCCCTAAAGATTATTTCTCAGCAAACTGTGTTTGCACATTCATGCTTCAAGTCACTAGGTAGTGAGTAATCAAATTATGACAATCAAGGGATGTGTTGTGTGAACCAGCTCCACTGTTCAGAACACTGTGGACTTCATGCTAGATATTTCAGCAAAGTGGGAGAGAGGGAGGAATATTTTTGTACCAGCGCATTTTAAAAACTCATTCTCTTCCTTTTCTTGAACATCTCGAGTCTGGAAGAATTCTGCGTATCTCTAAAGACTGCATACTGAACTTTGCATACTACTTGATCCTAATAAACAAACATTAGTTAACATTATGCAGGATCCAATCTCTCTCCTAAGATTATGATCTATATGAATGTTTAGAAATTATGGAAGATCTCTGACCAGAACAGGCCAGGCTACCACGATCTCATCAGAGCTTGGAAGCTAAGCAGGGTTGACCCTGGTCAGTGTTTGGATGGGAGACCACCAAGGAAGTCCAGGGTTGTTAGAAAGAGGCAAGTATTGGCAAACCACCTCTGAATGTCTCTTGCCTTGAAAACTCTATGGGGTCATCATAAATCAGCTGTGGCTTGATGGCAAAAAAAAAATCTCGCTCTCAAACAAGATATTTAGGATACTTTGCTATCAGTTTGGTGTAATGGTTAAGTGCGCAGACTAATCTGGGAGAGCCGGGTTTGATTCCCCACCCCCATTAGGGGCTTGGCAGCCCTAAGAGCATCCAAGGTGTAGTACCAACATATTAATTCTGTTAATTAATCACCACTATCTTTGGTAGACCAGGGGGCCTCAAGTTTTGCTGAGTCTGTAGTTACTTATGGAATCCTGAGAGCACATAGTGGGTACCACCACCAATGTTCCCTTTAAATAGTGGAGTCCTGTGAGCAAAAATTCTACTTTGTGAGCTACTGGCATTAAAGTTGTGAGCAAACGATTTGGCTGCTGCATCAATTAGTTTGCTCTGGAGCCATCCTTCCTGAGCAAAGACAAAAATGTGTGAGCTGGAGGCTAAAAAACTGTGAGCTATCTCACACTAACTCAGCTTAGAGGGAACACTGACCACCACAAAATGGCTGCCGTGGGGGTTGGAGCCAGTCACAAAACATTAGGAAGTTTCAAGCCAAGCAGCCTTTTATGATAGAGCCAACTTTTCCCAGAATGGGTGCTCTGTGCGGATACAAAGGTGATGATTACTTGACTGTTTTGAAGTACTTTCTGCTCCAGAGAGGTGGAAGAAAGGCAGGTTTGGTTCTTTGCTTTGGGGAAGAGATACTTTGGGAAAGAAGCCAGGGAGCACTAGGAAACCTGTCAGTGGTGTCCAACATGGCACTCATAGAAACTGCTATGGTTTATCTTGCAGACCTTCACTCTATCATTTTGTCCTTTCTCCTCAGACTGTACAAGCGGCCTTGGATAAAGCTAGAGAAGGCCGAACCTGCATCGTCATAGCCCACCGTTTGTCTACAATTCAGCATTCCGATATCATAGCCGTCATGTCACAAGGAGTGATTGTTGAAAAGGGCACTCATGAAGGACTGATGGCCCAGAAAGGGGCATACTACACACTTGTCACCACTGGGGCACCCATTAGCTGAGCGACTGCAGAAACACTGCCGTGAAGTCAGGATACTGTTCTTGAGGGGTACGCTAAAGCTGGTATGCAAACGTCAACAATGTCTATGTTACACAAAGAAGGCTGTGCTATTTGATAAGTTTACACAAGCAAAAACTCTTTCTGGACAAGTTATGTCTGAATTATTCAGCATATAGCTTAACCCATTGTGGGCTGCATCCACATAGCAAGGGTTCTCTGTTTTCTGACTATCGATGCTGCAAATGCAGAGACATTGGCAACAGAGCATCCATACTCCCATATGGGGAGTTTTGTGCGAACATTCCTCTGTTAGCCAGAATTTCCCCCACCTTGCCACCAGAGGGCATTTTGAAGGTTTTAAAACATCAGTAATTGCTATTACACTATAGCATAAAAGTATGAAGAAAGCCATATCTGCCTGGAAACTGATATGCCTGTGTAATGGTGTAATGGCTAAAGTTCTGGACTAGGAATTGGGATTACCCCCAGGTTCGAATCCCCACTCTGCCATGGAAGCTTGCTGAGTGACTTTGGGCCAGTCACAAACTCTCAGCCTAACCTACTTCACAGGGTTGTTGTGAGGATAAAATTGAGGGGAAGAGAACCATGTAAGCCACTTTGAGTCCCTGTGGGGGAGATAGGTGGGGCACGAATGAAATAAACATAATGCATACATTAATAAATAATAAATCCACTAATAAATAAATGTTAATGTTATTTATTAATAAATTAACGTCTTTACGCTAATGCTACAGAAATTAAGTCACTGGCAGTAAAGTTACTTTGGGTGCTGAATCAGAAACAGTGAAAACAATAACAAAAAATAAGGCAAATGTGTAGACCCTTTGGAACAGAGAATGCTTCTTACAGCATATTTGTAGAGTGCCTTAACACAGCGGGCACCGTGATCTAAATGCTGCAGTAACAGCGGGACAAGAAACCTAAAAGACTAAACAATGGAGAGCCAGTGTGGTGTAGTGGTCAAGATTATTCAACTAGAAAATCCCCAGCTGCCATGAAACTCGATGGATGCCCCTGGACCAGTCTCTCTCTCTCTCTCTCTCTCTCTCTCTCTCTCAGCCTAGCTTCTGGATAGGGCTATTGTATGAGTAAAATGGAGGAGAAATGCAGCCCTGGCTCCTTGGACATGATAGATGGTGATGATGATGATGATGATGAAGATGATGAAGAAGAAGAGGAGGAGGGAGGGAGGAAGGAAGTTCGGATGGACAGACAGACAGATAGATAGATGGACGGAGCATGATAGGTGAGAGACAGAGAGAGAGAAGAGAGAGAGAATAGATTATAGATGATAGGGGAGAGAGAGAGAGAGAGAGAGAGAGAATGAATGCTTACTGGAAACTATCTGGAGCCAGCAGAGTTTTTTTTCTTCTTCAACTCACCATTTAGTTAATTATCCACCCTTATGCAAATACATGGTTTCATTAAAACAATGACATTTTGGATCTGTTGTTTTGTGTCTTCTCTTCAAAACATGCTAACTAAACATAATTTAAAATGGTGCTGTGGTGACTGCCTTCCAACACCTTGACTGGGTCAGACCAAAGGTGCACAGCAAAATATGAACAGTCTGCTATGGTAGATCAGTCCAATGATCCAAGTAGCTCAGCATCCTGCTTTTATCAGTAACCTGCCAGGTGCCTCCAGGAAACTTACAAGGAAGATATTAAGGTAACAGCCCTCCATTTAACCATTATCTTGACCAGCTCCGTAAATCAACCTAATCCCTTTTAAAGTCATCTAAGCAAACGGTCTTCATATCTTTTAGCAGTGAGTTCCTTAAGTTACCTTAACTACACATTGTACAAAGTTCTTTTGTCTGTCCTGAATCTATTGGCACTTTGGCGAGTGGCCGAGTTCCAGTTTATGAAGGAATTTGTGTGTGTGTGCACAATGAATTACATGTGGGCTAACTGCATGTTATCTCCCCCTATAGTGAGTCCTGGAGTGTGGCTGTGGGTCAGTGGTGGAGCATCTGCTTTGCACACAGAAGGTTCCAGGCTCAATCCCCAGGGTTTCCAGTTAAATGTATCTGGTAGCAGGTGTTGTGGAAGCACACAGAGAACCACTGCCAGTCAGAGCAGACAGCACTGACCTTGACAGTGGTCTGATTCTGTAGAAGGTGACTTCATGTGCAGTGCATTGAGAACAGAAAGAAGACCAAACCACTTTCCCTGCAATAGCCAAGATATTTACTGAAGCGAGATACAAATCTACTTGGTACTTGCTTTGCTCATCTTATTACATTGCTTTCTCTATATCTATATCTGTCTACCATCCATCCATCCATCCATCCATCCATCCATCCATCCATCCATCTATCTATCTATCTAT